AACTCCTGAGGTCACACAATCCGCCCGCCTCGGCCTCCCAGAGAGCTAGGATTACAGGCATGAGCCACTGCGCCCGGCCTAACATTCATTTTCTTAAATGCCTTGAAATAATAAAGCTTCTCTTCACATCAAAGTTTTATGATGTTTAACAATTATTAAAATGTAGTATATACTAAAAGATAAGTTAACAATTTTTCCTACTGTAATTTGATCTGATTTTCTTTGGGAAAGAATGAGTAAATATATAAATATGATTCTTTACAAAGTTTTTTTTATTTTTTACATTTTGGGAAAAGAACATTTTAGACCTAAAAGGATCTTTCAAGGGCCCTTGACTGTCTTATAAAAACCGAAGGCCCAGAAGTTAAATGATCTCTCTGGGACTGTTTAAAAAAAAATAATTTTCGCCAAAAAGTTGAGCATTCTCAAACAACTTTTCTTTTAATAATACTTACATGGCTGAGTATACTATCATTTGTTTTTGGATTAAATAACAACTCCCCCCTACGCAGATTTAACTACATGGATCATTAAGTGCCCTAAGTAAAGAAACCTGGAGAATTAGGTTTCTGTTCTGCCTCTGCCACTGATTATGTGACCTTGGATAAGTCATTTAACGCTTAATGAAATATCCCTAAAATAGGTGGTTAATTTATATGAAATCCAAAGTGCTCTATGTCTTTAAGATTCTATAAGTCTAAGCATTTGAAAACTTTACAGTAATAGAAAATGCATAATACTTTCATTTCATGCTCACTGCTCCAGTAGTTAACTACTTTGGAACCACATTTTATACTAATATTAAGCTGCTAGAGGGCAAATTGCCTAGCCAAAAGAAATCATGTGTGCAACAGAGGTACAAGAATGGTGGTAATTCAGCATAAACATGCACAATTCTCTTAAAAAAAAATGCCAAGGTCTTTCTTGAACCTCTAAATGCTTCAGGATTCCTCATTTCCAGAATTATAGTTACTTTCTCCTTTATAATTCACTGTAATATTTTACACACACACACACGATTCATGGTCATATTAAGGCTAGTTTCTACAACCTGTCAGAGAGGACTACTTTTTCTTATTTACATGAGGTAACTAAAGATAAAATCAGAGGGAAGATTACAATAAAATCTAGACCGCATACAAAACCTAAAACTTGAACAGTAATTTACTCAATGAGGGTTTTAAGTTGAACAGATTTCTGTTCTAAAACAAAAGCTTGTAGACAATTAAAAAAAAAAAAGACACTGTTATCAGTTTCTGCAGTGAACTTCCTATATGAAGACATAAGTAGGATGACAAAACAATGGAAACTCATGAGAACTGTTTTCATTCTTTGCTGTCCCCTCAAACAACAACAACAAAAAGATAATAAAGAGTATAACAGCTGTGCAGATGCTGTACTGTATATGAAAAACAAAACGAAAAAATAATCCCCTAATTGGGACCTGTAATTACCCTGTAGGATGTCAGTTTCTCCTCCATCGTGTGAGATTAACCACACAAGCCCAAATCTAGCTTTCTTGTAACTGATGACTTTTGGGAGCTGAATTTACTATATTTAATGTGACCACCACAGTAAGTTTACTCACTAAACTTACTGTTCTTGGTAAATGAGAAAAGAACAGCATTCAACAGATAAGCAAAGATTTTACAGATGGGTGCTATCATGAGACTTAATATGAAGTTTATTCAAATATAAATTTAGTAAGAAAAAGAACTGACCATAATGGTACCTGACAAGTTAAGAAAGTAAGGCCATGTTCTCATCACTTTGCAGGATACTAAAAAAAAAAAAAAAAAAAAAAAAAGATTAAATCAAGGCCCATGGGCCTATAATCCCAGCTACTCAGGAGGCTGAGGTGTAACACTTGAGACTAGGAGTTCAAGGCCAAAGTATGCTGCTATGATCGTACCTGTGAATAGCCACTGCACTATAGCCTGGGGAACATAGTGAGACCCCATCTCTTAAATCAAAAGAAGCATTCCTTTGTGCTTTATTTTACAATGAAGTCATCATAAGCCATTTGTTTTTGCATTTGTTCACTTATTTATCCACTGAGACTTTGCAGTCTAGAACATTTTATACCTACTTCAATAACTAAAGCCAAAGGGAATTTATTTTTCGAAAATTCAACGTTGTTATACTGATATCTACAACTTACTTTGAAATGTGTTTATACACACACACGCACACACACATATTTTTTAAGAGACAGGTTCTCATTCTGTCACCCGGCTGGAGTGCAGAGATGCGATCATAGCTTACTACCTTCTCAAACTCCTAGCTCAAGAGATCCTCTCCTCCCAAATCAGTCTCCGACTAGAACTACAGGCCCATGCCATGAAATGTATTTTAAAAAAAAAAGATGGAGAGAGGGGCTGGTGGCTTACACCTGTAATCCTAGCTATTTGGGAGGATTGCTTCAGGCCAGGAGTTCAAGACCAGCCTTGGCAACATAGCAAGATCCCATCTCTATAAAAAATTTAAAAAGTAGCCAGTTGTGGTGGCACACACCTGTAGTTCTAGCTACTTGGGAGGCTGAGAGAGGAAATGGCTTGAGCCCACGAATTAAGAGGTTACAATGAGCTATGATTGGTCCACTGTACTCCTGTCTGGGTAATAGAGCGAGTTTCTGTCTGTTAAAACAAACAAAAAAAAAGGTGAAGAGAAGGATGGATGATTAGTTGTATGAGAAAATAAGTATAGTGAAATGTTAATTATAGAATCTAGCTGGTGGTTATATGGTTATTCACTATAAAGTTCTTTCAGCTTTTCCAGATGTTTGAAAATTTTTAATAAAATGTTGAGGAAAAATAAACTTTCAGAAGTTTCAATACAACTTTCAGATCAAAATTTCACCCTATTTGGACATTTCTACTGTCCAGAGATCTCTCTGTAAAGGAGTAGGACTCGAAAACATTACACAGAAATAATATGAATATCTTAAGACACTACAGAGCAGAATGTACTGAAATAAACTGTTCTCCAGAGTAAAAAACCTGTGGGTATCTGGGTCATGTCAGGTCCCAAATAATTCAGAAATATATAACAAAACTGTATGTACATGTACACATGTCAAAATAACATGCAAAACTTTTACTTTTTATATATCACTCAATATCTAGGGCTTTGTCATCCCTCTGTTATCAGTAAATTGAAAGTACTAAGTTCCAAGAACCTTTTAACAAACAAGATTTTTATAAAGATTATATTTGATTTCTAAAATACAAGGCTTTACCCTTGCTATTAAAATAATAACATGCCCTAAAATGCACTACCAACACTTCCTTCCAGGGTGTAAAAAGAAACAGAGTTTCAAAATCACTATCCCAATACTGAGCTTCCTAGGGGAAATAAAAAAAAAAGGGTTTTGGAAATTTTATGTCCAACACAAAAGTTTTAGGAAGCAAACCTGATTGATGCAATTTATATAACTGAGGCTGAAAAAAACCTTTCAGTGACTTAAAGCCCAAGCATGAAGCCCCCCACTATCCAAGTTCTCACCTAAAGGGCTGTCAACAGAACTTAATAAGACTGGCACCAAACTACATTCTCTCATCTCTCAGGTAGGTAGGAAAATGCTTTAATAAAATTATCTACTGACAAAACATAAAAAAATAAAAAAAGAACAGAACATCCTTCAAAAGATTAAAGGGTATGAGGTGCACTAAAAAATAAATTACTAGCTCGTTTGAAACAGAAGAATTTCTTCTACTTCATGAGTATCTACAAATCAGTGGTAAAGCAAGATTTAGTGGAGTGAGCAGTTCTGACTTCCCTTATCTTCACACAAATTTTTCCCATCTCTATAGCAGATGAGTACACAAAGATAATGCATCTGAAAGCAACTAACAGGTCCCAGAATATAACCCACCCCTCTTACTCCACCTCCTGTGAGACATCTGATTACGATATGCCACATACACATTTTACTTCACATGAACAGTAAGTTCCTTGAAGAAAGAAATCCTGTGTTCCCTATAACTCGCTCACATTTTCCCGGTGCTGCATACACAGGGTACACTCAATCACACTGACGAATGGACACATGTAAGTTCTGTGCTAGTGGAAGGTTTCGGGGCCACTTGGGTCCTATAAATTAGTGTTAGAAGTTACTCCTCGTTCTATGTCTCTCTTTCTCCCTTTCGAACAAACAAAAGAAAAATTCCTGAACACCAATGAATTTGGATTTCGAGTATCAACGGCCTACAAAACACCGGGGTGGGGAGAGGAGCTGATAACAGAAGGACGGGAACCTCCTGAGACAGGCCCGGTCTGCGGAGCCTAAGCGCCCGGGGAACCGGCTGGACGTTGGCGCCAAGGTCCGCAGCGCGGGGCCCACACGACACCCACAACAAGGTTCTCGCAAACCAAAAACCCCGGGCCGTCCCAGCAGAGGAGGGAGACCAGCTGGTTGGGAGGGTGCGGAGGTGGGCACGACCACAGAGAGACAGGAGTCAGCTCCCTTGTATCCCCCCCACCCCGGAGGCTGGGCAGAGGGTGGGGGAGGCCGCACTGCTCCCCGACCCCCGAGAGAAGCACCGGGCTCCAGACCCTTGGGGCGGGGCTCCTCTGGCCCCAGCGCCAGGCCGGCAGGCAGGGAGAGGCGAGCGAGCCTCGGACCGCGGGAATTCCGGCCCTGGCTCGGATCTTACCATGGTGAGGGCGGTGGTGGGGCGCGCCCGCGCTCCGGCTCCACTGGGGCTAGGGCTAGGGTCAGGGGAAGGGGAGCACCGGTCGCTCAGGACCTACTGCCCCCCTGACAGGAGCCGCTGCCGCTTCGCCTCTTGCCAAGATGGCGGTCCCGAGCCACGTCGTCAACCGGAAACGGCGTGGGTCAAAGGGCAGGGGGCGGGGCCGGTGGGATGGGGAAATTGTGGGTACTGGGCTGCAGCGCCGGCTTTCTGCAGGTGTAGTGGAATTCTCTTCAGCTGTGAAACCTCATATCTCTGTCCTTTCACTGTCATCACCTTCACTTATCTGGTGTTATCTCTTACAGTTTATAAAGCTGCTCTCACAGCCGCTATCATTTAATATACGAAATAACCCGTGTGCGTAAAGGACTAGTATCCAGAATATTTAAAGAATTCTTACAACCCAACAATAAAAAGACAAATACAGTATTCCAATCTAAAAATGGACAAAGAGCAGGTCAGGTGGTGCAAGTCTGTAGTCCCTGCTACTTGGGAGGTTGAGACAGGAGGATCACTTGAGCCCAGGAGTGTGACGCCAGCCTGGGCAACATAGAAAGACCCTGACTCTAAAAAAAGAAAAAGTCTGGAATTAGACAGAGGTGAACACATTAAAAAACCACTGAATTGTATACTTTATTTATTTATTTAGAGATGGAGTCTCGCTCTGTCACCTGGGCTAGAGTGCCCTGGAGTCAGCCTAGCTCACAGCAACCTCAAAGTCCTGGGCTCAAGCGATTCTCCTGCCTCAGCCTCCTGTAGCTGGGATTACAAGCCCACGCCACCACAATTGTCTAATTTTTCTATTTTTAGTAGAGACAGGGTCTCACTCTTGCTTAGGCTGGTCTTGAACTCCTGACCTCAAGTGATCCTCCTGCCTCAGCCTCCCAGAGTGCTAGGATTACATGAATGAGCCACCGCGCCCAGCCTGAATTGTATATTTTAAAAGGGTGAATTTTTATGATTTGTAAATTATGTTTTTAAAAAAACCATGTTCAGGAAGCAGGGCACTTATTGTGCTTATGTCCATTTTGTATATGAAGAAAATGATGACAAGTCTAAGCAATTTATCCCAAGTTTCTAGACCAGTATGTAATGAAGCTAGGATGCATGACTACACATTCTATCTCAAGATAAGCATCTCTTTTGTTCTTGGCACAACCTACCTTTCTGAGCTTCTGGCTGTCTATGTACCATCCCATCCTCTCAAGTTCAAGAGAAAGGGTCCAATAGTGCTTGGGACTTGCAGGGGCAGGTGGGACATGATCCATGTCTTTGTTTCTGTGGCCTGGAGCCTGTGGCATGCCCTCTCTTATGACCTGAAGGATGACCAAATGGCCCCCTTTAAAAGTAAGTTTTGAAAGCTTGGTTTCCGTATGACATATGGCTTATATTGAGGTTAAGAGATGTTTGGTTCCAGTTTTTAAAAATTACTTAATGTTAAAAAAAAAATTACTTAATGTTTCTTTTATGGTAAAGCAGCTTTTGGCACACGACATTGTGACACATTACAGGACATCAAAAACTGCTTTGGGTCACATTTTCCTCTAAGAATAACAGATTTATTATACACAGATAAAAATATACTCTAATTAATCTGTAATATATATATATGACACAATGAGATGGATGTGGTGGCCCGTGCTTGTAGTCCTAGCTGCTCCGGAGTTCAGAGTCCAGAGTTCTGACATGTAGTGCGTTATGCCCTTCAGGTGTCCACACTACATTTGGCTTCAATATGGTGACCTCCTTGAAGCAGGGACCATCATGTTGCCTAAGGAGGGGTGAACCAGCCCAGGTCAGAAATGGAGCTGGTCAAAACTCCTGTGCTGGGCTGGGCGCAGTGGCTCACGCCTGTAATCCTAGCTCTCTGGGAGGCCGAGGAGGACGGATTGTTTGAGCTCAGGAGTTCGAAACCAGACTGAGCAAGAGCAAGATCCCGTCTCTACTAAAAATAGAAAGAAATTAATCGGACAACTAAAAATATATAGAAAAAATTAGCCGGGCATGGTGGCGCAT